CCGTGCTGCAATCAGCAGCAAGCCGAGCAGAGCCCTGCCTGTCCAACCAGCCCGGGTGCGGAGGACCAAAACCAGGAGCATCCCTATCCAGCTGCCATCTGGCCCCCTCGGACAAGGTCTTGGGGACTCAGCCTGGGGTCTTGGGGACATCGCTGAGCTCCCACACCAGCCTGGCAGAGGACCACTCCAAACTGCCTGTACATTTTGGGGTCAGTTTTCCCCTTTTTCCGTTCATTCCTGGGCCAGCTTCCCCTCTCTGTGCTGCAGCCTGTGCCCACGAGCAGGGTTTGAGCAGGGCACCAGGGGGGTGTTTTTACCCTACCTCTCGATGCTTCCCACAGGCAGGACCCAAAGATGCCCCCGAGGGGGGGAGGGCACAGGGTGCTGCCCCTGGGGGTGCTGATGTGGGGACTCCCCCACTGAGCTGTTCAACCCAAATCCCAGGCATTTCTGTGCTGGTTTTGTGCAGCAGTAGCTCAGCGCCACCACACTGCCCCTCCTCAGAAGGACAGGGGAGAAAGTAAGATGAAAAAAAGCTCAGGGGTTGAGATAAGGACAAGGAGATCGCTCACCAGTTACCATCAGGGGCAAAACAGAGTCAGCACAGGGAGATTAACGTAACGTATTGCCTGTTGGTAGCAGACCAGAGCAGTGAGAACTCAAAGCAAGCTAAAAATGCCTTCCCCCCATCCACCCTCTTCTATGTCCTTCCCCTGAGCAGGGGAATGGGCAATGGGGGCTGCGGTCAGTCCCTAACACTTCGTCTCCGCTGCTCCTTCATGGTCCCTCTCTATGAGGCCCCTGCTCCCTGTGGGCATCCACGGGATGCCGTCCTTCCCAGATTGATCTTGTGGGGGCTGCCCACAGGGGCCTCTCCTTCTGCCCTGGCACCTGGAGCCCCTCCTGCCCTCCTGCACTGACCTTGGGGGCTGCAGGGCTGGGTCTCTCTGCATTTCCTCGCTCCTCTCTCTTGCTGTTGCACAGCATATTTTTTTATTTTATTTTTTTTCCTTTCTTCACTGCTCTCCAGAGATGCAGTAGCATTGTTCACTTTGGCCAGCAGCAGGTCCCTTTTGGAGCAGCTGGAGACCTCCTCTAGGCTCTCCTCTAACACAGGGCAGCTGCTGGGCTCTGCTCATGGAGGCCACCCCCGCAGCCCCCCTGCTACCTTACCTTACCACCTACGCCCACTACAACTTCCCATGGGGAAAAGCATACTTTCCTCACCCCTACCTTTCTTCAAAATGTTCTGCAAATCTCAACACACCCCTTTTTAACCACTGATAGAACAGTGACCCTCCAAGACCAGTCTCCAGGCCTCTTTGCAAAATCCCAAACCAGGAGAAGCTCAGCCAAGGTGCCAGTTCTCCCCGGCTCTTTTCTCTTTACAAAAAAAGGGCAAAGTCTTTGCAGTGCTCCTGCAGCTCGCAGCTGGCCAGCACATCCCTGTGCAGCCGCACGGCGGGATGCTGGGCACGCCGTGGTGCCACGGGGATGCTCTGTGCTGCTGCAAGCTGCACGGCCCCGTCATTTCCAGCTTTTGCCAAGATTTGTGTGGTTCTGGGGTTGCACACTGGGATGGATGTCCTCACTGGGGTCATTTGCACGGGAGGCTGCAGAGTCCTGAATAGGGCCATGGGCTGCTTACCATCCTCCTGCCGGCTCCGCAGCACAGGGGGGGCTCAGCACGACCCCTCTGCAGGGTCTCGGGGCTGTCCCACAGAGGGGAGGACGCTGTCCCCGCTCCCCAGCTCCCGTCCCAGGGCTTCTCCCCACAGCCCCCGAGCTCCCACATCACCTCTCCCCACCCGCCGCGGGCTGAAGAACAGCCAGGATTACTTTGCAGGCTCCTCTGTCTCATTCTTCACTCCGATGCCCAATATTTCATCATCCACCTCAGTGAAATGTATATTTCCCTTTTAAGAGCTCTCCTAGAATAATATATTTTTTTATTATCGTGACAGTGAGGGCTCCTGTTGCCATGGTTACGTGCCCTTTCCTAGAGCAAGAGCTTTCTGGGTGTTTGAAATTCTGTTATTTTTCCTGATCTACGGGGTTTGATTCTTTTTTAATTTGGTATTTATTCCCATTATCATCATCTGAAACAACAGGTCATTTATATTGCATACGGATGTGTCACCACTACGGTAAAGCCTTCAGAAATAAGCTTCTGCTTTCAGAAGGAAATTTTTTTGGGGGGGGCAGAATCTACCATGCAGCATCACTAATATACAGTATAACAAAAACATGGAAACTCCGAAAGGGGCTCATCTGTATCTCTCCGCATTACACATTAAATCCCATTCCTGGCTTTAGGACTCCTGAATAAGCGTTATAAAACAAATTCCAATTTTATGTGGTTTTCATACTCTTGCTGCAGAACAAACCTCTATCTTCGGGTTGTCATCTCAGCTGTCCTCAGCTCCTGAGCCTCTCGAATCCTAATCTATTTTAGGACACAGAGTGAGAAATTAAATGGATATATTCAATGGAGACAGACAGACAGACAGACAGATAGATAGATAGATAGGTATCAATCCAGCTTTTATCTCTAGCATTTCCTGGCAGGTGAGTGCCATAACATTTACAAAGGTATCACACGTAGACGATTGCAGGGACTTTTCCAAGACACGTGGCACCTTGGGGCCCTGGTGATGCAGGGTCACTCAGCTGCCAGCACAGGCTGGGGCGGAGCAGGAATATTCCCATTTTACAGAGGGGGAAGCTGAGGCACAGAGTGAGCCCAAAGCAGCTGAGTGGCAGAGCTGGGATGAAAACCTCTGATTTCCTTGGCTTTTTGATGATTTTTTTTTGAGACAGGCACAGCGTGGGCACGCAGAGAAAACAAAGATTTTCCATAAGGAATGAAAGGAAGAGGAAAGCCTGAGGAAGTGGCAGCGCGGTGGGCACAACGCAAAGCAGGAATGACGTGGTGCCGAGCTGAGGCCCCTGCAGGTCCAGGGCCATGTCCCCCACCCATGTCCTCAGGTCACCAGCAGAAATTAAGAGCAGAGCAGCAACTGAAGACTGCATGGACATCGTACAGGCAGCACCCTTATTCCTCCGAGCAAAATATTTCTGCGTGCAGCCACGACAGGAGATGCTGTTGGACACCAAGTGGCTGCACACACAGATGCTGCTCCTCATCCCCCTGCGAAGTCCTCAGGTGACAGCCCATGGCAGCAGCACGCTGTTGGCACTACGGAAAAGCTGCACACTGAGCAATGCTGGGCTGATGTGGCAGCAAGGAGCGGTTTGGATGTCCCACGTCCTGGCCTCAGCATCCTCAGAGAGCCCCGTTCCACCCAGCGATGGGCTGCGGAGCCCAGCCCTGCCCAGGGGGGCACGGAGCAGGAGCACCCGGGGGCACCCATGCGCATGCCCCGTGCTCGGTTTTCAGGCAAGGATGCAGCCGAGGCTGACCAAGAGAAAACATCCTCATTACCAACCTGGCTCCTTAACATTTAATGGAACTTCCCCGCTGGGGAGGATCACCCGCGCTCACATCCATCAAATGCCAAATCCAGTTTCTCCGCGCCCAGCACAGGCACTGGCTCCGGGATCGCCAGCTCCGGCTGAATATTGACTTTTTAATGACAAGTGCTCCAGTACAAATACCACGCGATGCGATGCGGGCCCTGGCAGACAGCTGATGGGGGCCGGCGCGTGTGTTATTCGGCAAATGAATTATTTGATTCCCGTTCCCTGCAGCATGCTGTCTGTTAGGAAATTTTCATTTGGCCTCTCTAACGTGAGAACCAATTGTAAATGTCAGCGCTAAACGCTCCGATTTAAGTGTTAGGTTGTCTTGTTTGATTACGGCGCTAAAAGGTCAGAGCTGACTAATGAAAAGTACAGGGGGGAGCGGGAAGGAAGCCGGGAACCTCCTTCCTTCCCATTTGCCACCCGTTTCCCCAGCACTCACAGCGCCTTCAAAATCCCCTTTACCTGCGCTCCTCAAGTCCTGGTGGCCAGACTTAGCTGCACCAAGCCTGCCTTAGCTTCACAAATCTGCTTTTTATCTCAGCCCTTTAAGAGCAGCTCCACACGCGGAGTTCACTGCATTTAGTTTAAAGCCGCTTTCCAAAAATATTAGTTCTCATGCTGTAAAAGCACCTGGAAGAACAAAACCCTTGTGAGCTGTTCCTCCCTGGGGAATACAAACCATGGCATCCCCAGGGAGGTGACATGCCCACACATCTGAACATCCCTGGACATTTCCATCAAGCCCGCAGAGCAGGGAGCTGTCATCTGAGTAACTCAGTCAGGCTGCTGGCACTGTAACGTGCCACGAGTGTGCCAACAACCAAACCAGAGCTTGGCCAAGCTCACCACAAGGACTGACAGTGCAGGATCCAAGATGGTGAGAATTAGGATTTTTTTTTAGGAAATAGATGCTTTAAGCAGTCAGGAAGAGCTGGGGGGGATTCTTGGCTGATGCTGTGTGGGAAGCTGCAGTAAGAGCAGGATGAGGAGCTCCAGCAGATGTGGGATTTCCCTTTTTTTTCTAGCCTTGGCTCAGCTGGAAGCCAAATTCCCAGCCCCATGCACCAGAGGAGCAGCCATGGTGCTAAAACAGCAGAGTTCCCCCTGGCCTCCAGCCCTCTGTCCCTGATGTGATAGCTCCTGGCCACGAGCACGGGGCTGGCCTCACCCCAACCCTAAGCACCTCGGGTACCCAGGCTCGGAGTGACTCACGGGATCCAACCTCCAGGGGCAGACACAGGGAGACCCCACCAAAAAATACCCGGGGGAAAAACTCACCGCTCCATCACCAGCACCGAATGTGAAAAAAATCCAAGAAAATAAAGCTCCATCTCCAAACTGAACCATTTTTTCCACTGCCCAGCGATGGAGCAGGATGGCAGTTTGTAGGCTATGAGATTAATAGGAGATCTGCTTGGGACTGGGAGTGATTCCCTCTTTTATTGGAATGAACCCCAAAGAGTAATGGCTGTAGGGCAGGAAGAGGAAGGTAAATTGCAGTAATAACATTTTTCCTTGTGCAGACATGCTTTTCATCATAGAAAAATACACCATCTGTTTCTAAATTACTTGTTGTATTGATTTAGCAGTTAGTAACATGTTGGATTTTTTTTTCCTTTTTTTTTTTTTTTTTCCTGCAAATCCATTTTGCAAGACCTCCTGGAAGCCTGACAGTGGTGTGCAGCAAGAAGCTGGGTTTGCTCACTGTGGACAGCGAGTGCCAGCAGCCACAGGGCTCCTGCAAGGGCACCAAGGGGGCTCCCTCCTTTCCTGCCCCCCGTCCCACCAAGACAGAGCAGCACAATGCTTGCGTGCCCCATCAGACCTATTTTTCACACCACATAGATGTTCCTCTGCTTTCTTCCTGCTCAGATCTCATGCACCTCACTTCCTTGGAAGTTTTGCACTTTGACTGCTTTCCCTCACCCCTTTTTTTTTTCTTCAGCTTATTTTTTCCCGTGCATCCCAAAGGCTGCATCAGAGTCCCCTTTGCAAGGGACCAGCTCATCTTCATTAGGGAAATCATTAACTTCGGTGGCTCCTCTCGAAGCAGACACCCTGCAATCTCACCTGCCAGTGCTGCCCAGCTCAATAAGCACTCAAGGAGCAGCAGTGCCCCCCACAGATGTGGGGATTTCATTTCTCCAAGACCAGCAACACCACTGATGCACCCCACTACCCTGAGCCACGCCACATTAACACACAGGAACAGGATGCACGAGGAATTGTTAGAAAAAAAAAGGATATTTGCTGCTGATTAGTGGCTAATATTCAGTGTGAGTGTTAGCAGCTCTGCTAGGAGACCCTGGTCTCCCCCACGCCCACGGACAGGGCCAGGACAAAAGAAAAAGGCTAACCCAGAATTTGTCACTTCCGAGTGATGTGAGCGTGGCCCTTTCCTGTCCCCATGTGTGGATGCTGCCTGCACTGAGACCCCTTAGAAACTCATCAGGCAGTACCCACGGATTTTCCACTTCAAGCAAAACCAGGAGACCCTCGGCTCCTGCTGGGTGTGAGCTGCAATGTTTATTTGACCGAAAACAGAAAGAGAAAAAAAAAAAAAAAAAGAGGCATTTTCACGCAGGATTTTTTGGTTCATAAAACAAGTTGTTTCCCACCAGCCACCTGATGTCCCTCCCCCCCAAACCAAGAAATAAAATGATGCAGGAGTTGGCAAAGTAACACGAACCGTGTGACCATCCCAAAGAGAAGTGGTTCCTATAGCACGCTGCGATACTGAAAAATTTGGCAAATAAGAGCTGATCTGCAGTTCCCATCTATCCAGCAACACGGAGCTGACCCCGGGCTGCAGCCCCTTGCCGAGACGCATGCCCGGGGGACGGACAGACACACGTCCTCGTGCTGGAGAACCTGGGGGTTTCTCCCGGGGTTCAAAGCGGGTGGATGAGAGCTGCCCCATCGGCACTTGTAACGGGGTGATATAAATATAAAACATCCATACAAACGGGTTCATTGTACAGAAAATATCATCTCACAAGGCACTCGGGTGACTGTGCGGCTCCCACGGGGGCTCCTCCAGCCGAGCATCGTGGTGGGAGCAGGGAGGGGAAGGGGGCACCGCAGGCGTCCCGGTGCTGCCATCCCAGAGGGACGTCACCCCACTGCTGTCCCCAGCGCCCCGGGGGCGGGTAGCGGGACCCCTCGGGGACTTGTGTCCTGTCCGGATGGCTTCGGGCTGCACTTGGCCTGGAGGGAGGTGCATAGATGTGACGGGGGCTGGGGCCCCGCTCCGTCTTCACGCCAGCAGCCCCAGGCGGGTCACCTTGGCCGAGAGGAAGGAGTGGATGATGAAGACGATGGTTTTGGGGCAGGAGTGGAGGTCCAATTGCTGCAAGGAGGAAGCAGAGAGACATTTGCAATAAGAAGGGCTGCAGAACAGACAGCGGGTGGGTGCCATGCAGGGGGTGGGCGCCCCGCTGCACCTCCCGGGTCGGAGGGAGCCAGGGGGAAGCGAGGGCGATGCCAACTCACGATCTCGCCCTCCGGGCCGCCAAAGTCCAAGTAGAGCATCTTGGTGCCGTCGTCGGAGGACATCTGCAGCTTCTCGAAGGGCTGCTGGAGCAGGATGGTCTTGCTGAGCCCCGGCTCCGTGGTGGAGATGGTGAAGCCCTTGTCGATGTGGATGGACAGGGTGCAGTCCTGCCCCTTCCAGCTGCAGGCTGGGGACAGGGACGGGCTCAGGGGTGGGCGCAGAGCCCCCGCCACCCCACGTCCCCCCTCACGGGACCCCGCTGACCTGCGGACACCTCCTGGGCGAGCTCGGCGGCGCCGTGGGTGCCGTCCACCAGCAAGCGGGTCCAGAGCGCCAGGTCGCGGGGGCTCTCCAGGCTGAAGAGGTGGCTCTGCACCCCCAGCCGGGTGCCGGCTCGCAGGGCGAACGCCAGCTCGGCCTCGTCCAGCGCCGAGCCCTTGGCCGGGCCCGAGTGCACCAGCCTGCGGCACGGCGCGCTCAGCCCCCAACGGGCCGCCAGGGGGCGCCGCAGCCCCGCCGCTGGGCACGGCCATCTTGTGCCGCCCCCCCACACACACCCCGGGCACTGCCACCGCCAGGCTGTGCCACACACCCTGCACACCCTGTCCCCACGGTCCTGACACGACCCCCAGGTGCTGCCACCACCTCCCAGGGTCTGCCACCAAGTCCTAAGGTGCCCGTCACTACCCACAGATCACTGCCACCACCCACCGGGCATTGCCACCATCCCTTGGGTACTGCCACCGTCCCCCAAGCTCTGTCACCGTCCCTTGGGCTCTGCCACCGTCCCCCAAGCCCTACCACTACTGTAGGACACTGCCACCAACCATGCGGCCCTGTCAGCACCCCTGTGGGTGCCACCACTACCCCAGGACACCACCATTATCCTTGGCCATGACTGCCAGCCCTGGGACACCACCACCACCATCATTGGGGACACTGCCACCATCCCTGGGACACCACCACCACCATCCCTGGGGACACTGCCACCAGCCCTGGGGACACCGCCACCATCCCTGAGGACACCGCCACCATCATCCCTGGGGACACCAACCACCATCCCTGGGGACACCATCACCATCTTTGGCCACAACCACCATCCCCGTGACACCACCACCGTCCCTGGGGGCACTGCTACCATCCCTTGGGGCACCACCACCATATCCCTGGGGACACCATCACTATCTTCAGCCACAACCGCCAGCCCTGGGACCACACCACCATCCCTATGGACACCACCACCACCCCAGGGACACCGCCAGCACCCCGGGGACACCCGCAGGACCCTACCTGGTGGCAATGAGCGGGTAGCTGTGCACAGGCTTGCCCAGGGCATCGCGGCTCTGCGGCAGGCTGCCGTACAGGAGCAGCTCCTTCTCGGTGAGGACAGCCAGCAGGTTCCTGGTGCCAGCACCGGGGAGCTGCGAGGAGCCGGGGTGGGTCAGGGCTGGCCAGGGACCCCTCGGCAGCGGGTGGCAGGGGTGGGGGGGACACGGGGGTACCTGCTCGGTCAGCCAGCCCACGTGCCTGACGTCCCTGCCGCCCGCCGTGCCGGTGCCCGCCAGCTGTGCCCGCAGCTCCTCCTTCACCCGCGGCAGCAGCGCGCCCGCCGCACCCTGGATGGCCCCGAGCCACGACTGCGCCGTGGCCTCGTCCTTTGCCCGCAGGAAGAGAGCCACGCGCCCGTCCGCCGAGCACACCTCGAGGTACCTGCAGGGACACGGCCCCGCTGGGTCTCCGCCGGCCCTCTGCGGGGCACCCCGAGCGGTGGCCGGCGCGGTGGTGGTGGCATCACCCTGACCTGTGCTCCGGGTCGGCGGGGAGGCACTTGCGGGACACGTAGCACATCTTCAGCGGGACGGTCCGGCTCTCACGGGGAGGCAGGACGGGGGATGACCGCTTCTGCTGGCCAGAGGGAGAGGGGTCCCAGCTGACCGTCGCCCCCGCCGCCGAGTTCTTGAAGTAGGGCGAGATCTCCTTCATGTACTTCACTGGAAGAGAGAGGGACGCCCGGTGAGAGCATGGCGTGGCGGCCACATCCTGCCCACCAGCACCCACCCACACTGCCAAAACGCCTCGTGCCTCCTCCATCATTTCCCCCCTCCCCCCGGAGCTAACACCCATGGGTGCTCTGTCTACAGTCACCCCACACCAGTGCCTGGGGCACGCTGCCAACTGCTCTGGTGAGCTGAGCTGGGCTGAAAAAAAGCCTTTTTTAAACGTGGTTCAGGTCACAGATCCAATTCCAACCTGGACCCTGTTGGCCGGGGCAGCACATGGAGGCGCAGGGCGGGGAACGGGCAGGAAGCCCAGGCCAAAATTACACAGTCCAAATTGTGCTGGTACAGCCGGTCCCGCGGCCAAGTGGGAACAAAGCAGTAATAGCTCTCAAATACCATGGCTTGGACCCAGGAAAAGCCTCGAACTGCGTGTGCACAGCTCACATAACCCTGAGTGGTGAGTTAGAAACCAGGGACGAGAAATCATCTTTAAGTGCCCGGCGACTCGGAGTCAAACATCAGAGCCGCTGTACCGCAGCCTGGCTCCGGAGGTTTAGGAGAGGGGGAGATGAAAGTTACAGCAAATTGATGGGGCCCCACAGGCACTGCTGGAAAACTGGGTCAGTGGCTCCCAAGGCTGATCCAAAGCATGGGCAGAAATCCTTTGGTTGGGCACGGGGATGCCCTGAGTGCTGTGGGGCTGGCTGATGGCTCTGGGGAAGGGCTTTCCTTGGGTGGCCCTTGGGAAAGGACCAGGGGACAGACACGTGCCTGCTGCCACGTCCCAGACTGTCACAGCTGGTTTCACCCCATGCCTTGCAGCTGAGTGCCAAAGGTGGCACACTGGTGGACCAGCTCCATTGCAGCAGCAAAGCCAGAGCGAGCGCTCCTAAACCTCAAAATCCCCAAATCCGGCGTGCGAGCTGCAGCGGGGTCACCACGGGGAGAGGCAAAGCCCCAGGGCACGAGGGGACGCACCCCACGGGGGGACACAGCCCCATCACCTCGTCTCACCCCGCTGGCAGCGCTGAGCCGCCTCTATAGAGGGCTGCGATGCCGCTGCCACACGTGGGTCGCTCACCCCGTGGCAGCCCCGTGCCTCCCGGTATAAATAGCCGCCGCGCTCCCGCAGGCATGCGAGCTGCGCTGGAGGCTGCCCTGGGCCAGCAGTCTTGGCACAGACTCGTCGTTATTCGGGCGCTTGGGAGCTAATTGGATTTCACAGAGACCAGCGTTCATCCACGGGCACCGGCGCGCGCAGCGATAGCGCTTCGGGGCACGGGGACACGCTGCCCGCTCTGCCCCCACCCCAAGCCCTCCCTTCCTGACGCCGCCCCCGGGAATTCCTTCCAGCATTCCCGCAGCACCTGTCCTGTGTGTCACCTCCGGCCAGGCAGGGACGTCACCGGCATCAGCTGTGCCGTGGCTGGAACACGTCCCGATGGCCTCGGCTCAGGGCAGGAGGAAGGGGCACAGGGAAGTGGGCGATGCTGCCCAACTCCAGGAGAAATTCCACGGAGCCGGGACAGGGTGCAGGGGTCCTGCCCCCGGGTGCCCTGGGTGAGTTGTGCCAGAGACCCCCAGCCCAGCACGCACACTGCAGAGCCCATAACACGGGCATGTGGCCACCGCACCCATGTGAAACGTGACCTCAGGCCAGCTGGCTCTGTCCCTGCCCCGAGGACAGTCTGCAAAGCTGGTCAGGGGACACTGGTGCTCCCCAAAAAATTCAGGGCAGGACCCCGAGATCCTAGCACCCACCCCAAGGCATTCAGAACAGCCCCATCCACGTGCTGTGCTGCAAGGTGGACATCACAGCACGGACGTATGGCGAAGATGCTCACGGCTACGCTGCTGGCCAGGGCCTCACTGTTTGTCCCCAAGAGGTGAGAGCGCTCCAGCAGCACCTGCACAGCATCGCAAGCCAAAGCGCTCCGGCTGCAGGAGCGGCCATCACATCTGGAAGGCTTCCAGAGAGGTCCTGGGGACCCAGCTCCAGCCCTAATGAGGTCCTAAGCCCAGCTCCAGTGGGCTCCTCTCTGCCTCGGAGCAACACCGGGACCGACGGCACGAAACTAGCAGATGAAATCACAAGGCAGAGGGGGCCAGGCTCCCACACTCTGCCAGGGGCAGGGGAGGGGAGGTGAAGGTAGGACAGGGACCCTCACCACCTCCGCATCATCCCAAGGTGGCTCCGAAGTCTCCTGCTGTGGTTCATGGCCGTGGTTAAGCCACGTGAGCACGTGCGGCACTTCCTAGGGCACAGCCCAGCCGCAGCTTCTCAGAGCGGGGTTTTGCTCTTGTGGGTTCAATCCTGCACAGCTCCGGCAAGCACAAAGCCAGGATGCTTGGCCCCAACGCCCCGTGGGCACCTGATTTCTGCTCCACTGCGCAAATACGGGTCACTGCCATCCCAAAACCTCCAGCCACTTTGGTCCTGTGGTTATTTCTCCAGGGCCAGCTGATCATTGCAGCTATTTAATATCTCACACCGTGCACATCTCCACCCTCTGCAACCACTGCAGCCGGATCCAGGCACCCAACAGTTATTTTTTTCTGAATTTCAACCTTCCATGCTATCCCTCGGCCAAACAAGTCCTGGAGAACTGCTTTATACCCAGGGATACCAACGCCAAAAAAATAAAATAAATAAAAATCTAACAAGAGGAAAAATAAGGTCAGGCAGAGCACCTCTCCCTGAAATAACAGCGTGATATAAATACGAACTCCTCCTGCAAGTATGAAGATGGCAGCTTGGCACACGCAGAGGCCTCCTGGCAGGGCACGCCGGGAGGTTTCCGCACGTCATCGCGCCTGGCCAGGACTGGCACTGCCACGCGGGGCCGGATCCAGCACGTGGGGCACTTCTGGCGCTGGGACTGAGGCGTTTCAATGCTCAGGTCGTTTTGGGGTTCCACCTGAATTCACCACCCCGATCAGTGACCACGTGAGGAGTGTGCAAACTCTGCCGGTGCTGCCGCGTGCGGTTGCTCTCCTAATTAGAGCGAGATGAGAGCTTCATTTCTGGCACATCACTTGGGAACCGCCCTTAAAGCTCCAGGTCTGAGAACAAGCGTGGCTGGGAGGAGCAAGGTGGTGTAAACACGTGCAGGCTGTGCTGAATGACTCCTTTTTGGTATTTCTGGCAAACGTAATGGAAGGCTGAGCTAAACGAAGAGTTGGGGAGCACCCAGGGGCTGCGGGGACCCCGCGCTGCTGCTTGCCCTTGTCCCCGGCCGTCCCAGCAGAGATGTCACCAACCCTCTGTGCCAGGCTGGGGTACACAGGGGACATTTCTGGAGCTAACTGAAACAGCACAGGGCTGGCCTGGAGCTGTCTGCGGGGCCAGGGGACAGCAGGGGACAGCCAGCCCTGCACAGAGCCAAGGCACAGGGTTCTGCGAGGGAGAGAAGTCGGCACCAGAAGGCACCTGCTGGACGCTAAGGTCCTCGTGCTGTTTTTCACCGAGCCTTGGAGCAAACCCAAGGACAAGAAAGGAGCCGGGGAGTCCCCTGTCACCACCCCTCTGGCTCCGGAGCAGCGCTCTGCCCCCAAGCCCTGCTGCACTCAGAAAGGAGCGGAGATGGAGATGCCGTGCGCGCATGCGACGTCCAGCAGCTGCCCACAGCACCCCAAGCAGCACCGTGCCACAGATCGACAGCATCGATCCAAACCAACCAAAACCATCACGGCAGGAGCCAGCCCAGCTCTCCTCCTGGAGCAGAAGTGTGCCCGCTGGGAGCTTTCGTTTTGGAGGAAGCCCGGCTTCTGCAGAAATGTAGGTGCGTCCCGGCAGGGCGACCGGGAAGCACCCACCCGGCTCCCCAGGAGGAGGAGGTTGGTCCGGGAGAGGAGTTGTTCTCTCGAGAAAGGGCAGCCCATCTCCACCTCCCGCAGAACCTCCAGCAGAAAGGAAGCCCATGCCAAAGTAAAGGATGAAAAGAAAATAACAGAGAGAGGGTGGTCTGAGTGCAGCGGCCACAGGGAGGAATTTCAGAGACTTCCAGAGAAAGAGGCTCTTGTATTTCTCTTTGGTCAGAAAAAAAAAAAATAACCCCCTATCTGCTCCCAGCAGCTGTGCAGAGCAGCACATTCCTCAGGCTGAAGCGTGGTTCTGCGGCTCCCAGGAGAGGAGGAACCCACAGCAGAAAAGGGCTGAGCGAAGCGAAAACTGAAAATCTGGAGATGACACAATCTGGGGAAGGAGCAGGGAGGAAAGCACCGCGGAGGTTGCTCACAGCAGAAGACACAGAGCTCTTCTTTGTCCGGGCACAGCCCACAGCGCTGCCCCCAGCCGAAAACCTCCCTGTGGGACCTGCAGCCCTAAAACCGCCCAAGAAAGTGTCTCGGGTACCGAGACCACCTGGGGCAGCCCGCAGAGCCACGCGGCCCCACTCTGGCCAAAGCTGTGGATTTAAATGGAAGCCAGGGGAAGAACACGGAGCTGACCACCAGCCCTGGCACTGAGGACCTCGGGGTGCAGCAGTAGGACGGAAATGTCACCTGCCCCATAGACCTGCCCCAAATCTCCCGTTGCAACCTGCCCATGGTCCCTGCAGCTGGGACACAGCCACCGGCACCCAGGCACACCCCTCCGGCTCCGCGGGGGGACCCCTCCGGCTCCCCGGATGAGCAGAGAAGCCACTCTGCATATTTTGTTTTCCATTTAAAAGAGCATGCAAATGGGGATGCAGATGCTGTGCCACCCCCGGGCTCCCTGCTCGGCTCCAGCACACCCTGGAGTGTCGCGGGGTGGGCACCCAGCACGTGGCTGTGCAGGAGCTCTGCAGAGACGGGCATCGGCAGCCCAGAAACAGGAGCCCCCCTGTGCCGCCTCGGCCCCTACCTTCCAAGACGACCTCCTTGCCCGTCTTCTTCAGCGCCTGCACCGCCTCGTCGTGCGTCGCCTCGGACAGGTCGGTGCCGTTCACGGACAGGATGGCATCTCCCACGTACAGCGCCTCGGTCTGATCCGCCGCCAGCCCCTTGAATATCTTGGATATCAAGATGGGCATTTTATTCTCTCGGCCACCTTCGAACAGAAGGGAAACCAAGCGGTTACGAACGTGCAGAGGGGGATGCCCGGGTTCCAGCCAGCCCTGCAGCGACCACGCTGCCCTCCGCATCTCTCCCTGGCAGCACCCAACATACTGTGAGGCTTCACGGCAGCTGAAGATAATTGCTCCCACAAAACCTCCGAATGCTTGCAGATTTCCTTGTGGAGCAAACACATACCTTGGCTGTCTCCCCATCAATTTTGGCAGGAAAACACGACATTATTTGCACTATTAATTGTGTGTGCTGAGCAACCATCCCTGCTCCGAGGACTTCACGATCTAAATGGATCAGTTTGGAGAGGCAAAAGAGCCAGGGAGAAGCGACCCGACCTGGGTATGTGCTCCCCTCTGCCCAGTGGCTCTATTTACCTGCTGCTTTCCATTCTGCAGCCTAAAAGGATGCTATTCAAGCCTCCTGGCAGCTCAAGGAGATCAATTTGCACATTAACTTTTGAACCGGCGGGGAGATGCGAGCAGCCTGTAGGCGCAGGAGCAGCAGCTCCAGCAGCAGGGCGGCAAGCAGGGACAGCAGTGCCCGACGTGCCCCGTGCCCCCCGGGACAGCCTGTCCCCAGGAGTCCCCCCGGGAGGATCCCTCGTCCCAGGGGGAGAGCCCAGCGGTGCGTTACCACTCTGGGGCTGCTCCCGGCCCTGCCGCAGGCATTTCCTTGCTCAGATTTCTGCCAAGCCACTCGAGGAGCAGAGGGCTCCGGTTATCAGCTGTCAGAGGCCCCCGTGGGGGTGCTCCGAGCTGCTGAGCCCCCCCCTCGCAGCAGCCCAGGCTGCGTGCACGGAGGGGGAGCTGCTGCCAGGAGCATCCCGTGGTGGCTCCAGCAGGACTGGCACCCTGACCCCGAAACACCAGAAACTTGAGCAAAAAAAAAGCTTAGGCTGGCTGGGGCGTGGACCCAGCCACAACGCTAGGGCCAGAAGGGTTTGGTTCAGGTTCTGCCCCTCGCCCTGCCCCATTCCACCCCTGGGCCACGGAGAGGAGCAGCAGGAGCTGGTTGGCACGAGGGGGACCAGGCTGCGGGAGCCCCTCAGCTCCCTTCCCCGTCATCCCCTCCACACCCCCTCAGGGCTGCTGTAGGAAAGCGAGGTTAAACTGCAAGAAGGGGGCTGCTTGTTACTAGAACAGGAAAGCAGCCGTGTGTGTCCCCCCCAGTTAAGGCAGAGCAACCCAGAGCCTGGGCTGCCCGAGCGGCCGTCACGCTTTGCAGCTCCCAGTTTGGATTACGGCTCCTTGGTTTCCACATACGTCACTGCAAAAATAAAGTTTTAGCTGAACCAAGTAACGTTTCTCCTTTCCTGGGAGAGCCTCGGAGCCAGCGGCGGCTTCGCTGCCAAGGGGTTGTTGCAAAGGGGGTTTTTCGCTTCCCAAAAGGGCTGGCAAGCTCCGGCATCCCAAAAAGCAGCCCGCAGCACTGGGTTTTGACCCAGTCCCCGCACAGGGACACCCACTGGCACAAAACCTCCCTGCGGCGCCCTGCTTACGGAGCGAGCTGGAGGCTCCGGGGAGGGAGAAGCCACGTCAGGAGGCGAGAGCCACGCTGCCACCGTCCCCCCAGCACGCAGCCCCACCACCCCCTTTGGCCATGCACGGGGGCAGCCCCCCGCACTGAGCTCCCCCTGCACGGAGTTTCCAACAGAGCTCAGAGCCCCGTGAAAGGCCAGACGGGGCCAGAGGAGCCACCCTCGCCCCGAGACATTTCCAGCCCCAAATTCGGGCAGAGCCAGCCGGGTGCAGGGCGGGCAGCGGCTCGAAGGCGCTCGGACACGGGGACCGTGGGACGTGGGGACGTGGGGACACGGGGACACGCCGGAGACGAGGACGCACGGGCGGAGCGCTCCGCCCGGCTGCACCAGGGGCAGCTTTTGTGCCCGTCCCACCTGCTCCCGCAGCCCCCGTCCCCGTGTCCCCGCGTCCCCCCCGCTCCCGGAGCCCCTCTCCCCGCGTCCCCCGCCCCTCCCCGGCAGCCCCCTGCCCTTCCCCACCTCCCCGGCGGCTGCGCTCGGACGCTGCCCGACCCCCCCCCTTTTTTCTCCCCGTTCCCCCGGACCCCTCACCCCTCACCCTCGCCGCTCGGAGCACGGCAGCGTCCCCCCCCCCCCTCACCTTTAATACTGATGCCGAGCCCCCCCACGTCCTGCTTGACGACGTGCACCGTGCGCCTGATGTTGGCGAGCGCCTCGGGCACGCCGGAGCCCCCTTCGCCGCCGTTCAGCTGCGCCGCCGGAGCTTCCCCGGGCCCGGGGCCGTCGGCGGGGCTCACCCCCAAATTGTCCTCGGTCAGGGTGAGGAGGACACGGAGCCAGCGCCCTCCGGGGCCGCGGAGCTCCAGCAGCCCGCTGCGCGGGGCGCGCCTGCCCGCCGCCATCTTCCGCGCCCGCTCCGCGCCCCCCCGCGCACCGCCCCCGGCCCGCCCCGGCGGGGGGGCAGCGCCTCCCGGCCGCCTGCGGGGCTTGGGCTTTTTATTTTTTATTTTTTTTGGGGGTGTGGGACGGCTCCGCACCGCCCGCCGGGCCGCCCCGCGAAGGACCGGGGAGGGTTTCTCGGGGGGTCGTCGGGGTGCGGGGTCCGCGCCCCCCGCCCCGCTGCGCGTCTCCGGACCCAAAGGAGCCGGGAGCGGCCCCGGGGTTTTCTCCGAGGCTGCTCCCTGCAGGGCTCGGGGGTGGGCGCCCCCCGGCAGCCCCGCGCTGCTGTCGGGCAGGGGAGGCACGGGGGGGGTGTTCGGGGTGTCCCCTGCCTCCCCCGTGCTCGTCCCGCTTCTGGAGCACAGGCGACGGCGCTGGGCTGCCCTTGGCACGGCTGCACTGCTCGCCGCAACCGAGTGGCAGCAATTAGGAAGGAAAAAATACCCCTCGGTGCACAACCCCCTTCCGTGCCCCTCGGGCTTTGGGCAGCTCCAGAGGCCTCCAGGATTGGGGCTACCGAGGTCGCTGAGCTCCAGCCTGCGCAAAACGCCGAGATTTAGAAGGATTTCGTGGCAGCCACCTGGAACGGGCACACGGCGAGGGGCTGCAGGGACAGGGGGGCAGCCCTTCCCCATCCATGCACCGAGGAGGAAAAACGCCCCCCCTATCCCGCTGCCTCCCCAGCAGCTGTGGGATTTCGTGAGGCTGCATCCAAGGAAACCCTGGAGGTTTGGTCCTTACGAAACAGACAGTTCAAATATTCCACATTTCTTTTTATAAAAAACTTAGAGTTTGGTTTAAGCGGCTTCCCGGCTTTGCCTGGCAGTGATGCTCGTGGTAGCCATACCCCTCCGTGTCACTTCTGCACCCATCTGGGGGTGACCATCCCGTCCCCCATGTGCACCCCAGGGCTCCGAGCTCACTCCTCTTACAGCAGGGGGAATTTTGTCCTCCCAAGGACTGGTTTTCCCTGTGCCACCCGCTCCCAAGGCGCTTGCTGTATTTGCCAGCCTGCAAATCAGCTTTGCCTGGATTTTTTTTCCCTTCCCTTGTTGTTTCCAGCATAGGTGATTGTTTAAGGCCCCATTCCCGTTGGAAGTGCTGGTGGAAACCGGGAACACTGCTTTAGTGCTGCAGAACGGCCCCGTCTGAGCTGCTGGCTTGGCTTGCTCAGCCCTGGCAGCACGGATACAACACCCGTGCGTGGATGAAGGGAGCAATGCAGAGCACAGCGATCCCATGTAAAGGGAGAAACCTCCTCTCGCCCCATCCTGCTGGCATGCTGAAAGCAGCTGGGTCCCCAGGGCCCGCCTGGGGATGAGTTCACCTCCCCGCAGCTGCAGCCTCGTCCCAACCCACGGCATCATTTATTTCCCCCGAGTCACCCAGCGTGGGCTTTGTCAGCGCGAGAACATGGAGAGCAGGGGAGAGGGGTGTGTGGGATGCCACGAATCGCCCCCCTGTGTCCTGCAGACACCGCAGAGCTGTTGGCCCAGCCATGCTCGGGGACAGGCACCACTGTCACCACAAGAAGCCTGTGTCACGGACACGGTGGTCACACAGCTGCGGGACCCCTCTCCCCTCTCTTTTTCAGCAGCTTTGTAGTCCTTCAGCAACTGCACCAGTTACTTACATGGGATGGTGACCCAAGGCGAGGTGTCAGCACACTGGGAGGACAGGCCTGCGGGACATTTTGGGGGTCCTGATGTCCCCAGAGCAGTGGGGCTGCTGTTTTAGGGACCTTCCTGGAGGCTTGGTCCCCCAGGCATGCCCTCACCCCGTGTGTTCTCAGGGTCCCCGCATCCCAGCACAGGGGATGCTCCTGCTGCAAGGTGCTGTGAGCACAACTCACACGGGAGAGGTGGGTGAAGGACGACAGCTCTGGCTGGGCACGAGAGGTGGCTTCCCAAGACTTTTCCAAAGTCTTTTTTTGCACATCTGGGCCAGATGTGCAAAACCCCCAGGTTACAGTGTGGAGGGTGCAGGACCCCTGCCCGTCCCAGGGTCCCCATGCCCGTGGGGCTGGTGCCACTTTTGCTGCTGGTTTTCATTGCACGCCGGAGCCTGTCCTGGCATTTTCTCTACAGAATCTCCCCGCTCCCCTGGACTCGGTGGTTAAGCAGCTATTATTAGCCTCATTTCTTGGCACAGACGGGAGCTGTGTCAAAGCCCACCGGCCTATTTATAGAGCGCCGTTGGTTGCATTAGTTAAATTAATCACTTGTGAAACAAACGAAAATCTCGCGTTCAGGGTCTGGAACCATGTTCCCAAGCCAGATAACGACACCTCCGGCTGCCCACGGTGCTCAGGGCAGCACACGGGGCAGCTGGTCCTGCTCTGCCCAAGCGAATCTGCAGGAACCAATGGCTGGAAACCCACTGGCAGGGACAGAAAGGGAAATAAAAGAGATTCAGATGTGCAATATGTACTTAACTGAGTGATTCATCCTTTGGTATACAGGAAATGCAGCGAAATGGCTTTGTCTGACCATAAAACCTCTGGAGCCTCTGACTCCTCTCACCCGACTGCGTGCTGTTTTCTCCGGGACACCATCAGTGCCAGCAAAGTTTCTTCCTTCTCGGCCCAGGTTCTTCTCGTACGGACCCCTACAAGACGGTCACGTCAGCAGGGCTCCCTGCTGTGAGAACACCTTTGTTAGCACACGGCAGACGTGTTATCGAGGCAGGATGATTTCCGTCAAAGAAATGGGACAAAGCAGCCCCTGGGGGCTAAACCAGCTCTGGGCAAGGCAGAAGCTGGGTGACGCCGCAGAGCTGTGCACGCCCTGCCAGCAGTGATGTGCACAGAGTGCGGCTGCTCCAGCAGGCACGGGTGGCTTAAGCAAGTCAGCAAATCTCCTGCAAGACCACTTGTTGGCCTTGCATCAGGCAGACCTCACCCGTCAGAGCCCGGTATTCACTGCCTGCTGCAGCTTCTGTGTCTCAGATCCAAGTGGCATCAGTGGCAGGACTCCGCTCAGCCCCTGAGGTAGTTCAGAGGGCATAAGTCAATCATAAAACTCAGCGCATTAATTGCAGATTGTAAAATGTACCGGCACGCTTGTACCTGCTGCTGGGCTGATCCCCCTACTCGCCTCTTATGTAGGCCACAGGGAACCCCCCGTGGTTTGGATAATTTGCAGCTCGCGAAGGAAAATGCCAGATTCTGGGTGCCCCTGGGACCGCTGTGATGTTGTGCTGCAGCTGCTGGTGGTGCCACCCCCGATTTTGCACATCCCCTGGTACCGTGGGTGCAGTCTGTGCCACCAGCATCCCCCTGCGGCCTCTGGCCTGCGGTGTGCTCAGGGGGAAACCGAGGCACGGAGCAGGCTGGGGTGCAGCGTTCCCTCGCCCACAGCTCCCAGCGGCTTATTTTTGAACTCCCAGAAACGTCTGGAGAAGAGGAGGCTGGGGAGGGGGAGGCCTCCCCTCCGTGCAGCAGCCCGGCAGGAGGACGGGAGGGTCTCGGTGCCACGCGTGGGCAGGGGGCCCCCACGCCACGCCGCAGCCGGGGCCGGGCGCAGGGCGCGGGGCTGACAGCAGGGGCCAGCAAAGCGCCGCTCGGCAGCGAGCAGGGCTCCTCCGGGGGGGCAAAGCCCTCCTCGGCCACCCCCAGCCCCTTGGGGGGCGCCCACCTCGTTCCCCACCCTCCCCAGCCGGGTGCGCACAGCGCCCTGGGGCCGGGGGCTCTGCGGGTTTGCGCGCAGGGCTGGGGTGGGGTGAGCTGGAGGGAGGGGGCTCTGAGCACCCCATTCCCCCGAGCAGTTTTGGGTCCAGGTGCCGCAATAGGGTGTCAGTGACACGGACACGGGGATGATGCTCCCTGCAGCGTGTCGCCAGGCTCAGCTCGTGGCCAGGCCAGCAGCACCCTCAGGGGGCAGGGGACGCGCGTCCCACCCCGCGCACTCAGCTCCGGGCTCCGCAGGGGATTTTCACCTCTGCCTCTGTGCCCCAGGGCTCCAGGCTCCGGGCTTTCTGCTCAGCGCTGCGATGCCAAAACCATCCTCACTACCTCCAGGCGTTGCCTTGTGGTGGGTGTCAGTGTTTGCCCCCTCCAGCTGCACGCCCCTTGCCACGTTTCAGTCATCCCAGGCCAGTTGCCTCCTGCCCACCCCATGCCACCACACCATGGTGCCACCGACTGTCCCCATCTCCGTGCCTGCCATGCTCCTGCAGCCACCCCGGCCCTCCTCTGCTGGTGGCCGTGCCCTGCTCCATGCCAGTGCCCCGTGGCCAGCGCTGCCAGCCCTGCCCACGGCATCTCCAAAGGGCCCCGCGGCACAGGGGGGGTGCAGGGATGGCAGCACAGGTGTCCCCCACCTGGGTGTCCCCCATGGCCCTGGGCTGGCACCCACGCCTCTCTGCTCGCCTCGGATGCAGCCTTTTGTTCCCTTCCAAACAGAGGTTTTAATTTACCCTCTCGGCTGGCGAAATCCTATCCAAAGCAATTCCCCAGCCGTTCCTCCAAATCACAGTAATTACCTCATTACTTTGATATTAATAGAATTCATATGGCCTGGAGAAGATAATTGAAATTAGCCCCACGCCGCTTGCGAGGGGGAAGCCGAGCCGGATGTGAGGCCGGATCCTGGCACCCACCCCAGGGCTGAAATATCACCCGAGGTTCACCCTACAGAAAAGGGGCGAGCGGGCAGGACGGGAACCCGTCCCTGTCCCCATCGGGCTGCTGCGAGCCAGAGCAGGAGGATGCTCAGCATGGGGCCAGTCCTGGTCTTTCTGGGGAAAAATACAAAATAAAAAAGGGGGAAAAAATAGAGTGATTCATCATCTGCAAGAGCAACAAAGGCAGCACAGCTCTGAATGGGTCTCACAGCCGGTGCCGTGCCCCCTGAGACAGCCACTGCCCGCCGGAGCTGTCCCAGCGCCCTCCAACCCCGCGTCTCCGTCCCAGCTGCTCCCCCGCCAGCCAGGGGTGACCCCAACAAAGGCCGGGGCCGCCCCTGCCACCCTTGGGCTTTGCCCTGCCACGTGGCTCCGTAACCTCTTCCTCG